TTTATCTCTAATAAAAACAACAGTGCATTTCCGCAGTATTGTATTGTTTCCGAATATCCCCTACTTTTTGTGAAGAGTATATATTTACTGACAAGGGACACAAAGTAACTCCCATTCGCCAATTACACGACTAGGTTGAAAGTCGCCCATAGGAATGACTCAATGACGTACTTACTGATCCAACGCACACGCGTTAACCATTCGTCCCCCATCACCTACCCTTTACCCCACCCCCACTATAATATGAAGTTATATTAGTAATTCTAATCTGTCTATATAGCACTCACTTCTTCTCTCTATTCCCCTAATTTGCAAAGCCGTTTGTCTTAAATGGTTAAATTTACATTTTTTTGCAAGGTTTTGGTGAATATTCCTGATGTGGAGGCGGAATATTTGGGAAGTAAACAGACGTGAATTATGGATATCGCGTACGAAAATGAATATTGATTCGATGAACCAAACTTCACATGATCGAGATAAAATAAATGCATATTCTAATTAACGAGTAATTTGACCCAAAGCCAATATATTCGTAACTCATACGTAACTGAATCGTTACAATTCTAGATAATTCTTTCATTTCGTAACTTTATCGTAACCCAACCCCATATTTTTCACCCAATTACCCACGAATTATTGTAACCGCCTCGTAACTACTCGCGATTCGTTAATTTTCGATTCGTAACTATGCGCAAGCGAATTATTGAAATAAAATTAAACCATATGTTAGTCCCGAAATGACCTAGTTTGTGTCGAGTGGACGTTAAACCCCATTTCTCTCTCTCTTCTACCTGTCCTTTATTCATTTTCGTTGATCTGGGATTAACGTACTACACTTTTGCGTCAACTTGTCTAATGAGGTCGCCATACTCTATGAGAGAAACTTTGCACGGATAATACGTTTCCTACTACGTTTCTTCCAATTCTGCCAAGAGGTATTTAACGTACACACCAACGACTACACGGGAGGACCTCGGTTTTGAAATAAGAAGCCAGGATGGAAAATAACGCGGAACTTTATCATCCATCAGCGGATCGAACCCTCGACCTTTTGCAATGAACATGGTACTGATCACTCGACCACAAAATGTCCTTTAATGTTTTTTTCACGGAGGGCCTGACAAGGACAGCTGTCTAGTCGTTCGGACGGTACGAAAAACTGATGTCCCGTGTACACATTAGCGTGCACTTAAAAGAACCCTTGACAGTGGAATTCGATATAAGAGTAGGCCGTAGTGCCGCTGTCCGGGACAAAAATAGCCCAGTTCAGATAAGAAAAGTAGGACGTTAAACCCCATTTCATTTCATTTTTTAAAATGTTTTTATCAGTGGGGGGTGGGGATGGGGGGGGGGGGTCGAGAGGTTAAGGAACCAGCCCTAATCCTTCTCATAACGTTTACTTATTTTATAGATATCGATATCTCAATAATATTCAGTGTTAAAATCCTCACCCATTACCAGTGACAGAGCCGCATTAAAACGAAAGGGCGGCCTGGTGCATTTATCTACGTGGGGCTCCTTTACCCTAACATAGGATAGTTTTATATTAAAATTGAATTATATACAAAATATTATTGGTGATCTTTTGATTTGAATATGTAATGTAGGTTAAATATAAAAGTGCTATCTCATATCATTCACTGCTCGACCAGTGGTTACGCAATGCATGTCAAAATAACAGATTGCTGTTCAACATGTTTAGTTGTTTACGTACTGTACTAAAGTCACCTTCAATCTTCAATCATCCGAATTGTACAGTCACCCCCATAGAGTCGATTTATTTTATTTCAATAGAATTAAACGCAACACAATTAAAATATTCAAATTATAGATTAATCGTTTTAAATTAACCTTTATAAGATTAATATATAATATGAATACAATAAAAATATCAGCTTTAAAATAAAAATATCAGTTTTAAAATAAAAAATAACAGCTTTAAAATAAAAATATCAGTTTTAAAATAAAAAAATATAATATAAATAAAATAGAAGTAACATTTATCGGTATACCAGTCCCAATTTCTTAAAATTATATTTCAAAAATCTGATAATTGAATGATCTGATTTGTGATATGAAATGAAATGGGGTTTTACGTCCTACTGTTCTGCTCCGACTAGGCTAATCCCATACAGTGTGCTATGAGGGAAAATTTGAACGGGCAGCGGCACAATGGCCTACTCTTATATCGAATTCCAACTGCCAAGGTATCTTTTACGTGCACGCCAATGTATAAACGGGGCCTCGGTTTTCCGTCCATCCGAACGACTATAGACAGCTGTCCTTGAGCTATATAATTCTATATAATTGTGTCATGTGTTATTCTCACCCAGTTACTAAATGCCACTTAAACAATGTATTGATACTTGTTATAGACGAATTGGTAAAAAGACATTGAGTGACAAATTGTGATACAAAGAATCTAGTGTGTAAGTCAGTTATCGACCTTGACCTCGGGTATTCATTTATTACCTTTGTTTTAATTTGATAGCTGGTTGTGAGCATCTTCCTAGATTCAAACATAATACAGAAACTGCGTGCCCATTTTTCTAAGAATCAGTTAGAAGGTGTGTGTGGGTGTGGGTGTGTGGGTGGGTGTGTGGGTGTGTGGGGGGGGGGGGCTAAAGATTGGTACCTGCTTAATTCAAAATCTTTTAAAATCCAGAAATATCCTCAATATGCACGAAGACAGTTGTCTTAAGAAATTACAACCATATTTAAACAGCAATACATTATTACCATACCAAGTTCTACATAATAGCATCATCTACATGTATTTTACATTATAAAAGAGGGGGGGTGGATGGCCGAATGGTGAGCACGTGCGCGCTGTAACATAAAGCCTGTCATTGAGTCAACTGGCGTGGTTTCAAATCCCCGGTTGTACGTGGCAAGGAGTAGGGTCGCCTGTCCGACCTCGTGGGTTTTCTCCGGGTCCTCCGGTTTCCTCCCACTGCTCAAGACCCCTACGCGTAAGCGAATTATTGAAATAAAATTAAACCATATGGTAGTCCCGAAATGACCTGGTTTGTGTCGAGTGGACGTTAAACCCCATTTCTCTCTCTCTCTCTCTCTCTCTCTCTCATTATAAATGAGCGTCGAATCGAATAAAATAAATTCGCTCTAGAAATGCCCAATAATTGGAATAAAATAATACATTTGTCTGAGTTGCTTATCCATGTTTCTAGAAACTGAATTTAAAATGATATTTTTCACGGGGTAAAACAGCAAGAACATCTTTTAATGGGCTACATTTATAAGGTTTTAAATGTTAAATCGGTGGACTATTTACACGATTTGAAGAGTTTAAGCGTGTATTGTAGTATTGTATTGTACATTTTCACCAGAAACGGCCTTATTGAAATTTGTATATTTAAGTATTATAACTACAGTTCGAGTGTTAATCTTCTAAACAACAGAGTCATTAGAATTGTTTAAGGGCATAGAAATATGGAGATTAATCACTTTATGTAATGACAGTGAGGCAACTAGTATGTTTATTTATAAGTTAGCAACGTGTTTCTATAGGTTTGGGAATTTAACAACTAAAAGATATAAAAATACAAGAAACAGTCAGTTCTTTAGTTACCTTTCGAACTATAAACTCGTTAGAAACCTGACCATTTGTTCTCGTATTAGGTATGTGTAAATATATCTTTGTTTAATATTAAGTCAATTTGTATAATATATAAGTTTCTAAGAATAATTAATGATAGTGTTATTTTCATTTTAACTTTATATTATAACCTGTTTCATATGTTTTGTAATAGTGTATGTATTTTCGTTATTGGTATTTTTAGTTAGGTTTACTAACTATACACTTATTGGAAACCTGACCAGTTGTATTTGGTTCAAGGGAGGGGGGGGGCGAATGGTTAGCGCGTGCGCGCTGTATCATAACGTCTGTCATTGAATCATCTGGCGTGGTTTCGAATCCTCGGTTGTACGTGACAAGGAGTGGGGTCACCTGTCCAACCTCGTGGGTTTTCTCCGGTTCCCTCCCACAGCTAAAGATCCCTACGCTCAAGCGAATTATTGAAATAAAATGTTAGTCTCGAAATGACCTGGTTTGTGTCGAGTGGACGTTAAACCCCATTTCACTTTTTCTATTTAGTTCAAGACCCGTACCGGTATACTACAGAGACAGATTATAGATAGAGATCGTCTCTATATTAAAATAAGTGGTCCTCGCGTTAAGATATTCCCTGTATGTGGAACGTACGAACAGATATTTTACTTTGGAATTAATCCACAGGTCTAGGGAACATAGCTTTTCCATATTCATAAATTGGGTTCATTTCTCCCATGGATAATTTATATCCACATTGATGGTACTAAACATCAATCTGATACACCTTCTGTTTAAACTTTGATTATATTCAGACTAACGGAGATGACCCATCCGCTCTCCTCACGATATCGACAGCAACAAAAACAACAATAACACTAAAAAAGGCTTATTTCCACGAAGGCGCAGTTATTGACCGCAACGGATTAAAGGAGGTCGTTTTCGACGCCTTCGTGGGAATCCAGCTTTTAGGAATTAAAATGATTTAAAATGTGACAATGGAGTTATAGATTGTTATGATAAGAATTTACACTTTCATAATCCCTAATTTGACTAATTAACTAACATTTTAACATGTTTGGCATTTTAACGTGGTGTTCCCACTTACCCGGCAGGCTTTGATGTCAAATTTTGCCGCTAATCCAGAGTTAATCCTAGAACAATGGTGTTATAAACTATAGTCCATATCTTTTTTAAGACTAAAACTGTATTGATTTTAACAAATTTAACTTTTATTAAATAACATTAAATAGCTTACACATATAAAAATATATTGATTACAATTTACACATTTAACTTTCATTAAATAGAATTATTTAACATTAAATGCCGCAACAATGCGGTACACCCGACTGATCTCTTTACCTGTGTGGGTGTGTGGGTGTGTGAAACAAACAATATAAAACCTTGGTCTTTTTTTACAGGTGATATTTTGTGAGCTGCGAGTTCCCCAAAGCAACGTAACATTACGGTCAGAACAGAAAAAAAACAAGCTCTATAAACCACAAGAATACAGTCAGAAGAAAGAAAAAAGGTCTTAAGATGCTTGGACTTGATCAAAACGAAAAAAGTAAGCTAACTCATAAACGACCCCCCCCCCAAAAAAAAACAACCCATAAAAAACACCTCTGTAGATAGGTGGTTTTAATGATAGTCTTAGGTGTCTCCTTGGAATGGGGTTTAGAGTCTCGTAGATACTCTCATAGGTCATTTTAAGACTATCATAAGCTAATATTTCCATTTCTATGGTTCCATGTGCATTGCATGTATTTGGGGTGGGAGAATATTAGAGAGTGTAATTAATCGTAAAATCTGAAGAACACAGAGAAGGTTCTGTTAATTTAGATGATGAATAAATAAAAGATTTTATTATGTATTGAGGGTGTAATTTATCTAGATTATGAACATAAATATTTAAATTTTAATGATACATTTTTATTAACATAAAAGATCTTAGCAGACCAGTGAAAAACGGCCTTATTTTCTGTCGTGAAAACCTGTAAAGTAAATAATTTTAATGTGGTCATTAAGCTATCTGTATTTTATTCTTTTGTATCTTTAACTATGCTTCCGGAGTATGGGGTTTCCATTATGCTAACGATATAGAATTATTGCATCTGTACTTTCCGAAAAGAACTCTTGATGTCAGATAAAACACTGGTTGATACCCTTAACTATTCATCGAAAATTGCGAATATTCAAATATTGGTCTCGTTTAATGAATACAGACAATGGTGTCCTTAAAGCTTGTTATAAAAACATATTAACTAACAAGGATAAGTGGGTAAATAATGTAAAGAAATGAAATGAAATGGGGTTTAACGTCCTACTGTTCTGCTCGGACTGGGCTAATGAAGACGGCAATACGCCATAGAGTGTGCTATGAGGGAAATTGTGCCCGGGCAACGGCACTATAGAATACTCTTAAATCGAATTCCAACTGTCAATGTACGCCAATGTATACACGGGACGTCGGGTTTTCGTCCAATCCGAATAACTAGACAGCTTGTCCTTATCAAGCCCTCCGTCCTGCACCACTGACAAGCGGATTCCATGCCGGAAAATCTCGATGAAATTTCTCGGCCAATGTAGGGATCGAACAATCGAAATTATATAGCATTGGTTTAGGTTACATATGGGAGAGACATGTGCAAGCGGGAATAATTTTATTAACTCCGATATTGTCATTATTAAACAAAGCTTATAATATGATAACTTTAAACAGAAATGTGTGGAAAATTTTAACGAATCTTCTGAATGTATTATTTATAGAAATATTGTTAACCACTTTGATGTGGAGGCTTATTTAACTAAATGTATTGAACAAAGGTTTAAAGGAGCTAAATCGCTAATATTTAGGACCTAGAAATTGACCCAAATGGGTCGAAACGCATATAATAATGTAATCTGATTGTATATAAACTGATTTACATTCAATTGTTTCCTTTTTGACTCTAATTTCAAATCAGTTATGTCCAGCGAAATACAGCATGTGTCTCAACCCTATAGCAATTTCTAGCGTCTGGTTATTCCAGTCTATTAAGCAGGCCCTCCAGTTGAATATATCTAGCCTCATTCTTTCTGGTCACTTGTTGCAAATGACGCTAAAACGCACTATGGTACACGATTCGTGTACCAATGGTAAAATGTTTATTTTGTCTTAAATATTGGATATCAGAAGCCTGCCTTTTCCTGGTAAGATCACAACATCAATTTTGATTTGAATTGACAAATAATTCGTATTTCCAACGTGTAAGACTTTGGATGATATTGAGTTAGAGACTTAGCTACTTTAAAAGGGAGATAACAAATTTAAGATTATCTAGTTATAAATCGAGGATTGAAACTGGAAGGTACGAGTCAATACCGAGAGAAGACAGAATTTGTACACTTGTGCAAATGATGTATTTGAAGGTGAATATCACCTTGTATTTGTATGCACCTTCTTTCCTAAACTTATCAGAACTTATCAAAAAATATTATTATACCAGACCAAATATGAGAAAATTGCTAGAATTACTTCAAAGCCAAAATTGTTCAGAATTATTTTAAAACTAAACTAGGTAAATTTCTCTACTTCGCAAATAATTTAAGGGACAATACACTTCATAGAGGATAGTCATTATTATCATAATATTATAGTAATACTGAAATGTTCAATTCGTTTGTTTGCTCATTGTATTCTTATGTTTCTATGTTTACCGATGAACCAGAGATTCGAGGTTAATAAAGATTTGATTTGATTTGATATTGCGCAATTAATCTAGTTGATAAACGCGTAATTAATATAATATACGACATAATTAAACTATGTAGTGTATATTAAACCAGTGATTGTTATCCCATACAACCGTGTTAGTTCTGACGGGTGAACAATAGAGTTAACAATGTTATGACTTTAACTTGAAGTCAAGTATAATCACCTACTTATTTCTAGAATTAGACTTTCCACTCGCGGTGTATACAACTATTTTCTCACTGCGCTTTGAGCATGCTTTTAGATGTATTTAGCGCTCTATAAATGTACATTAATATGAACAAAAGTTAACCTAGATGATATAGATTATGAACATAAGTTAATAGTATAGTTAACCGAGGCGATAAACCTATTATTATATAAACGATATAATTAAACTACGTAGTGAGGATGTCATTAATCCAGGCTATGAACATAAGTTTATGTATTGTAGTTTACCGAGATGATAAACATGTAATTATATAAACGATATGATTAAACTAGGTAGTGAGGATGTCATTATTCTAGATCATGAACATCAGTTGAGTTGAAACAGTGTAGTTAACCGAGATGATAAACATATAATAATATTATTATTATTAAAACGATATTTATACAGCGCTCATCTTCCACTGCAGAGCAATATTCGGAGGCACTTTACAAAACATAAATTGAAACATTGTAAATCTCAAATATACATAAAAGTCTACATAATTAAATTATGTACATATTAAAAATTACATGCTTAAATTATGATTAAAATGCAAGAAATATAAAATCTTCTTAATTAAAATCTTCTTAATTAAAAGCCTGTGCATAAAAAATGTGTTTTAACGATTTTTTGTTATATAATCGATTTAATTAAACTACGTAGTGAGGTTGTAATTAAACTAGATTATGAACATAATAGTGTAGTTAACTTAGATGATAAGACGTATACTAGATTAGCTTAGGTTGTATTGTGCTGAATGTTCTCTTGGTGGCAATAAAAGTACCCTATTGATTGGAATGTATTCGTCTGAGTTTAGTCCAGATAGGCAAATGGGCCGATTTTTTTTGTCGAGTGGACCGGTTTATTTGGGAAAATGGGCTATTTTTCCGGAGTCCCTTAAACATTAAATCAAACCTATATTCCACCGAGCCTTTTAAAAATTACATAATGCTATACTTACAACATTTCGACCTAACTGGGGACCATAATTTTCCGGAGTCCCTTAAACATTAAATCAAACCTATATTCCACCGAGCCTTTTAAAAATTACACAATGCTATACTTACAACATTTCGACCTAACTGGGGACAAAAATTGATTTTGTAATTCTGAATGGGCCGATTTTTTGATGCCGCACGCCCTCTCGTAAAATATGTTTGTGCGTCCCTGGAGGTAAATATTCTCACTTGATTTCTATAACAAATGTTATAATATCTAATGAAAATGATCTCCGATATGAGCTTGCTACTGGCACACATTAATTTTTACTCAGTATTTTTTAAAACACCTTTAATTCTTTGCAAATATATATAGATAGAGCCAAATAATTAACTGTGTTTACGGCTGACCGACCGTTCCCGTTTTTTAAAAGCCAAAATCGCCGACCCTAAACATTTTTCTCTCATTTCCCAGAACACTTAACTCGTTCATGGCGTGATTTTCAAACACTGAATATCGGTATTTTCTCTAAGAACCTTACTCGGTAATTATGCTAGAAATGCTAGGAAATACATAATACAAACATTACAAAACAAGAGAAAAAATAATAAAATAAAATAAAATGGATTATTTCAGAACAGCATGGTTTATATTTCAATTGTTTTCTAGAACACAAGGGTCTTGAGCAAACTCACTTTGAAATGGAAACCATATCCCTCAAACCGATGATCTAAACAAAAGGCGTAGACCACTCATTTGAAAGTTTTGATTTTTATTAAATACTGTTGCTGTCTATCCTATGACATTATATCAACTGTAGGCTATGCACTGTAAACATTTGTATGTATTTATTTCAGGTATTGGTATTAAAAAAGAGATTCTTATCGTATTAGCATCAGAAACATTTACCAAGCGCTTTAGGGATTTCGAAAGAGCGGGTGAATACAACTTTCACCATCTTGACATCACTGGAGTTCCTCTTGAATTTCAACATTTGACCGGAGATGACTCAGACTTTAAGTTCGACATCGTGAGATATATAGAAAACGCAATTGAATATGTTCGAAATAATGAAATTGATGCGGTGCTAGGAGTAGAAGATATCGGGGATTTTGTAGCTAGCATCATTCGAGAGAAGACTGGACTACCTGGACCGGGAATCGAGACCAGTTTCATCTGCCTACACAAATACTACACCAGAAAATATGTAGGTAATGACTCGAATCTTTGGTATATTGCCGTTGACCTCGACTCCGATGATTGGAAAACTCAGATGCAATATCCTAGTTACATTAAACCCCCCTTTCTCCACAGTGGTCACGGGCAAATGAAAGTAAATAACGAGTTGGAAATGAAGGAGGCTGTGGAAAAATGCAGGAAGTTTGTGGTGCCTTGGGCTGCTTTCTACAATGCCATGTTTGAAAAGTATCTAGATATTTCAAAGTTTCCATTGTGTGTGAAGAATCTGGTGGTTGCTGAACATTATGTGGAGAAGTCAGACATGATGGTATCCGAAGGTTGGGTGGATGGACAGGGGAAGTACCACGTCTGGCAGCACGCCGATGGTTTGAGTTATACGAAGCCTTTTAGGAGTCCTTTTGCAACCAGCACACCTTCTCATCAACCCGAGGTCGTTCTACAGAAGGTGGAAGAGTATCTCACAAACGTCTGTAAAAAACTCGACCTGAGATCTGTGTTTTTTAATGCTGATCTATGGATAGATCATGACCAAGACTACCAGAACATCTCCGTGGATATAATTGAGATGAATAACCGTCTCTCTAAAGGACTTCATGACGTCTACAAGGGACTTTGGGAAGTCAGCAGTTTTGAAGCAGCGATGATCGTTGCGTGTGGTGAGGAGGATGTGCTACCGCTTTCTTCGCGGATCAAGGAACACGGATATGGCGGTGTTATTAGAGTCAGAACTTTTGCTTCCGGTCCCTCGACAGACATTTTGAATTTTGAGGAGGTTCACAAATTTTTGGACCCCTCCGAAGGAATCAAAACCGAGATCTTACGGCCTGGGATAGACTTAAGTCTTCGTGAAGATGAAATATTTGAACAAATTGACTCTAATGCTGGAACATTAGTGGGTATATTTTTTGTTTTTCAACCCACGTTATCGGAGCTCAAGAAACGTGGTGACGAAGTGTTGCAGAAAATCTTAAAGAAGTCATGTGATCATTTTAACTTTTAAGGGCATTCATTATACTAAAGTTGAAATACTTAACATAATTTTTTCATCATTCATGTTATTGTTTTCTTTAAGTAAAACCTCAACTCACCAGTGTGCCACTATCCGATGTACTACCGTCTTCAAACGATTAGGTGGGAAGGGGTGGGTGTGTATTTATGTTAAGGGATGGGGCGGGGTACAATTCGTTTTTACTTGATCGGCATCCGAGTGAATTAGCCTTTGTAATATAATTATTAGTTTAGTTTGTGCATGTGTTTTTTTTTTGGGGGGGGGGGGGGCACGGATCCAAATCCAAATAACATTCGTCTGATTTTTTCTCTGCTATTATATATATATTTTTGAGACATTGGTGGTGGAGATAATAATTTGCACTAAAAGGGTGGGGGTAATTATCCTTTATTTTAATGCATGATTATATGATTTTCAATGCATGTATTTTTATTTGAATGTGTGCTCTTGGCCACAGCAAGCAAGCTGGTCATAAAATTCAAGCTCAATTACTCTTTATCGAGTTCCAACTGTTTTTACGTGCAGTCTGGTAGCGGACGAACTTGTGAAGGAAATCTTTAAGAAGTATTTTGACCATTTTTAATGACATTTTGTTTTAATTATAAAGTAAAAATATTTGTCGACATAAATAAAACTATTTTATCACATTTGATTGGTTTCTTTCAGTAAAAACATTGAAATGTCTGGGCCCGATTCCTAGAAAATTCTTAAGCACGTTCTTGTGCTTAGATTTAAGAAGACTTTGCATTTAAGTAAACTTACCTTATTTTGTGTTCCCAGAAAATTCTTAAGAACGTTCTTGTGCGTAGATTTTAAGTAGACTTCATTGTAAGCACAAGAACGTTATTATGCGTTCCGAGAAAAAACTTGAGCACAACTTCGTTCTTAAACATAGTCAATCTAAGCACAAGTCCCAAGCAAGGTAGGCCTATACGGCTTGCTTACCAACCTTAAGTCTGTTTCTGCTTCAAAAAGATGGCTGACCGTAGAGTTATTCGACGGCATTTCCGACACCTTTTGATACCAAAGAGACAATTACAAGACAGAAAAAATCCTTCTCCAGAAGAAATTTCAAATTAAGAATGCTATAGAAAATTTCGCTTCTAGGCCTATCCTTAAACCATTTTATTTATTTGCCAATTAGTAAACAATAGGCTACAGACACACAGGCTACTTTAAGATCAGGCACTCTCACAATTATTCAGTTAGTTTGTATGTGTCTGCGTTTTTTTTATCTTGTGGCACATTTTATATGTGTAGGCCTATAGGGGACATGTCAAATGCATCTAAATCAACCATATATATATATGACGTCAATGAAGCAGACGACAAACTTATGACGTAATTTGCATACCAAAGTTGTTTTTATGACGTTAAAGAGCATCGTAGTCTCAGTTTATGGTAAACTTTACCAGTCACAATGTGCTTAGACTTATACTTGACTTGTGCTTACGTAAGGACGGTATTTTTATAAGTTTCTTACGTAAGAAAAAGTGAAGCATGACTTTGTGCTTACTTTAAGAATTTTCAAGGAACCGGGCCCAGGTCTGTTCTTTCGTCAGCTTGTTTAGTTTAATGCGTTGCTGCATATTCAGGATATGTTTATAGAAATTAAGAGAAAATACATTTTAATTTGGTCGGGGAAAGGTCCCTATCGAAAGTACATATCTTTCGGCGTTTCCATCTGCTCTTCATCTTTCACATGCACTCCAGTGTGTATACGACTAGGTATCGCTTTCCTTGTCGTTCCGCTAGCGCTACACTTGACAAATGGGCACTAGACTTGGAAAGGTGTATATGGCTTGATCGGTGATTAGAGGACAATTCTTGTACAAGAATACTATGCACCAGCTCCATATTATCTTGATTCTCGCTTGATGATAAAATCTCAGCGAGGCCTTAAAAAGGCAAGATAAAAAATAGACATTTCAAACTAAAGATATTGGAATAGTATACACGTGGTTTCACATATAGATTATTTCTTCATATTGATAATGAGCGTTTAATCCAACCAGCTGATGATCTCTCACAACATGTGGAAATATATACACCATTAGCTAAACACGATTTACATATAACAAGATAATATCTAAAAACATAATATAACTTACATCGTTGTTATTTGGTTAGTTCAGAGGGTTTAAGGGATTTAAGGATATCAGATTCCACAGTTTATCTTAACTTGTGTTATCACAATTCTGTTTAGTTTGGAATTGCCTTGAAGAGAAGAACAAGTTAAAGATCTTCAAAATGTTTCGGCTTGTTATCCTTGTCGCTATTTTAGGAGTCAGTCAGGCAATAGTTTGCACTCCATTTTTATGCGCCGGTGCCAAATTCGATACTACACAATGTAAAGGCTCTGTCATTAAAAATGGTGGATTTTGTGGATGTACCGACGCCTGTGCCAAGGTAAAAAAGTATATAATACACACTGTTGAACCCTAAAAGATTAGCGATTTGGTGTATTCGTTTTGGATGTCTTAACAGTCAAATCATTCAAGAGTTATGATTAGTGGAATGAAGTGTAGTCTATAAACCAGACCTTTTGCTCGTACGGAATTGTATTTAGCTCAAGATTAATTGAAGTAAAATTGAAAGTTAAGACGGAATTAAACTGGTCGTTCAATCTAATTAATATTCGACTTTCTATACGGGTTTTAATTCTGGTTGGCATACATAAAGATCTAACTACTTTAGTTTTAAAATGCGGTGGCCCAGTGAGTGAGACGTTGGCTCGCTAACCTGAAGGCCTCGTGTTCGATCCCAGTATTGGCCTAGAAAGTTCATCGGAATTTTCCAGCGTGGTTCCTTCCGATCAGTGATGTAGGACGGAGGGCATGGCAAGGGACAACGTATAGTCGTACGGATGGGACGAAAAACTGAAGCCCCGTGTACATATTGGCATGCATGTAAAAGAGCCCTTGACGGTGGAATTCGACCTAAGAGTAGGTCGTAGCCCCACTGTCCGGGCAAAATTTTCCTCATACCACACTGCATGGCGTATGCCAGTCTTTATTAGTCTAGTCGGTGCAGAAAAACAAGACCTTAAACCCCGTTTCATTTCAAAGTATAAGTTACTGTCCTTGGCTAAAACCATTCTTACACAAACCCAAGCCTCTCTTCATACCAGGTCCAGCCGAGGACAACGTGAATGTAAAATATAGATAAACAAGAAACAAAATTTTAGTTCGACAGTCTATCCATTAGTCACTAACAATCATGTGTCCGGGTATGCTAACATCTGATGCCGCTTAATCGAGAAATTTCAAATTGATGATGTACTGTTTGATTTAATAACGCAGGTAGAAGGTGAAGATTGTCAAGCTACCGTCTCTATTTTTCATGGAAGTCCTCCAATAGGCAAATGTGATGACGGTTTAAAATGTGTTGCTCCTAATGGCGGTAATCCTTTTGGTAGAGGACAGTGTATTAAAGATGTACAGAATAGTAAGTACTCCGGTTTCCTTCCACTGCTAAAGACCCCCACGTGCGAGCGAATTATTGAAATAAAATTGAACCATATGTTAGTCCCGAAATGATCTAGTTTGTGTCGAGTGGACGTTAAAAAACCCACCCTCTCTCTCTCTCTCTCTCTCTCTCTCTGTATGGCGTATATGTCCGTCTTCATTAGCCCAATTGGTACAGTAATACGTTAAGCCCCCTTTCATTTAATTTCACAGGATCAGTAAGGACTACTTGTGAACAGAGAAGAATATCAGCAATGATTATAATGGTTGTATATAAAGGCCAATGGACACCCAGGTGTGACGTAAATGGTAAATTTACACCTGAACAGTGTGATAATACAGGTAGGTCTAACTTAATTCTGCTTAAAGTGAAATATCTTAAATTTTACTTATACCATGTCCGGTCATTACATCATCCAATTCTTCCTGGGGCTAACTCAAATTGCCCCCTCCATCAAGTGCATAATAACTTGATTGGCATTTTAAGATTTTAAGATCTAGAGGGTTGGTCGTGGTCTTGTCATGTTAATAAATGTCTAATTAATAATTTATATAAAATGAAAGGCCTGTAATAGGCAGATGTAGCTCTTACAAAATGCACCCTTCAAGGACACTGAGACATAGCGACGAGAGTTTCAGAAACATTTAGAACGAGTGGTCATTGGGCAAACCCCCCCATCGCGACTGTTGTATATCTATAGTCACTGCAAGATTTACCTATAGGCTCAGGCTTAGCAGGCTGACACCCGAGACCTCAAAATCTAGGTGTATGATATGTTTCGCACTGTTATAAGCCTTTCTTACACGCACCGTAATCTTAAACACCCGTCACCATTCTCAGCTTTGCTCAAGCAGTTGCGAGGAGGGAGGCCTGACTGGGAGGGACTTCATAAGTGTGATAGCCCAGGGTCTCTCTTCATCGAAGCCCTGTACTTTCGGTAGTAAATATTTTTAAATATCGTGCACAGTTTTTAATCCGAAATTTGATCAATGTATTTCCATTCCTATTCTTTTATTATTGTAGCACAAATTAGAAATTTCCTCGATTCTGATTGGTCGAAAAGTGTGGTCGAATGGACAATAAACCCCCTCTAAATTTTCAAGGCGAATTACTGCGTATAAATATAACAGTGTACTTTTTTTCATTTTTGTGCCAATAATCTTCCTCAACTCAAATCTTTATTGACAAATATCTTCAAGGAATTCTGCACACATGACTATCACACCAGTTTCAAACATCATCTTTTATGAAATCACATTTCTGAAATACATAAAACAGTAGAAAATCAGTCATAAATTAATTAAAACCGTTTTCAGGTATCCAAATATATTCGTAACTAGGCAGTGACAGTGTCAGTAGCCTATGTTTTCTTTTTTGGTACTAGGCTAGCTTCACTCACCAATTTTTATTAATCAGGTGGATTTTTAAAAAAAAAAATCATGCTTTCAAAATCTGAATAGCTTGATCTACCTAATAATAAATCATTGGTCACAAGGAATCGCTTGAAAATACAATGAGGGAGTCGAATACAGCAGCTGAAATATAGGCCTAATCATTATCATTTATGCCAAAATTGTCATTTGTTGACAACACGTCAGAACAGCTACATAGCAACCACTGGCATCTTAGACTAGACATCATTGTCATGGTTTATACGGTATTTTAGAGGATGTAAGTATGAACTGCAATTGTGTAAAGAAGAACTAGCTACAACATTGTGATAACAGTCTGCAAAATAAAATAATAAATGCTGGAAACTTACATGAAACTCCCGAAGCTAAGTCATTTTTGTTGCCAAGAGTTACTCCTTTTTTAGTCTCAGATAGCAGGGCGGAATTATTTCAATCAAGCTGACACTCGTCTCGAAATACCGCAATAAAAAATACTAATTTCTCGTTCTTTTAAAGATCTTCAAACGTTAAAAATATTAGTTGTTTTCGATATCCGAATAACATTTTCTTTCATAATTCATTTACCAGCAACTCGAGACTCAAAAATTTTAGATTTGCAGGTAAGCAAGAGACCGTCTATTGAAAATATTTTGAAAAATGAACGCAAGCGCGTGACCAAATAACGACTTTTTAAAATGGGTGTAAAAATGTTTTCTAAATAGTTCCGAAGAAAATCTCCAAATATTTGTGCTACAATATCGATAAACACATTCCTGTTACGTATTTATCGGGTGTTTATTGTCCATTTAACCATGCTTGAATTATCCATTAGAACAACTCGACGCTATCGCGTCTCGTGTTCTAATGATTCAAGCATGGTTAAATGGACAATAAACCCCCTCTAAATACGTAACAGGAAGTGTTTATCTCCTAATTAAATTGTTAATTTTGATCTCCTATTGCAGGTTCGTGTTTCTGTGTTGACGTAGAAACTGGTAAAATAACATCTAATAAGCGAATTCAAGGCCAGGTTCAATGTTGAACAATAAAACTAAGACGATTCGAGTTCGATTTTTCAACACATCTAAATAAAGAAATTTCATTTTATATGTTCTTCATTTTATTACGTTTCATTATCTTAACATATTAATAGAGATCCATAGATGATAAGCCTTATGGCGTTTAAGTAATGCAGAATATTGCTGCCATGGTGAAATTATCGTCTAGATTTCTTAATACGCGTCATTATCCAGTGTCCTTCGGGGTTTGCGAGTGCGACCAAGGCACGTTAAGCGTGCAACCTGGGATGATACATTCATTTTAGTTTTCCGCGAACGAAAGATCAAGAAGAAAGAGGTTTAACATACACTCAACACAGACTAGGGCATTTATGGACTAACTGTTGATACTAAGTATTTCTTTTTTTCTAGAATACGAGTACTATTATATATGTGCGACGTAAGGATACAGATATGCGATCAAATCTTTACAAATGTAAGCTTTGGATGTTCGTGACAATGAGCTCCATTGGTTCTCCAGTCTTCCGAGCACATGATGGCTAGAAATTAAATAGTTTGTCTCTTTCTCTACCCTATAAAGATCGTCCAAAATCTTCAAATTATATTGTATTCAACTCTTTGAGAAAGATCTGTCGAGACACTGCTGAGATTCATATCGATTCATAATCGGATTAACACTAGATGCTGTTTCAGTTCGGTGTATTCGGTTGGACATTTCATAAACAATCCTTTAGTTTGTATATCCTATTAGTCATCCACTACAATTTGAAATCTAATTAAAACTAGTTAAAACATTTATTTTCTCGTTGAAAGTAAAAACGCCTACTTAATTTATGCCATATATTGGCTGCAGTCCAAACCTCTCCATCCGTATACTTTACTCTACAAGTTTGTATTTCCTGAACTTCGCCGATACAGCAAACATATGGCTTAATAATAATGTATCTGTTCCACAATTCTAAGAAATTCAAATGTGAATTTATTCTGCATCCAACAAGACCGGACATAAGAAAACAAATAGAGTAGTAACTATTACGTAAAAAAACTTCTAGGAAATTTAAAAATTAATTTATAATAATTCAAAGATAATCCAATATATGCGTCTATGCACATATTTCCGAAAGTGGGTTAGAAGGCGAAGATATACAACAATGATCCTAATCTCCGGGAATATTATGAAAGAGCTCTGAAACATCCGTTGGGCTCCTAATCATGTGCCTGCTCTGCCATCCGTTGGGAGTCATCTCTTCAATAGCATGACCCGTATCTTAGTGATTGAAAGTTGAGTAAATTATTAATTCGAGTCTGAGGATGCTTAGTGAACTCGGTGCTGTTTATATCAAGGGACAAGCCATTCCAAGGCCCATATTCATAAACCACTGAACTGTTCATATAAAATTACAACATATTATGGACTTATTAATTCTCTCCTCAATGACTTCAATGTTAAATCCTTAACATTTTTGGCCCGTGACACTATTTTGAAGATCTATTAAACTATTAAATTAACTATTAAAATCTTTATAGCCACAAGGAGCCCGACATGTCACAATCGTGTAACAAAAATATTGAAGGAGGTTCGCCGTTTCAAATTTTTTCTATGCCTATTTCTATACGTACACGATTTCCTTAATTCATATCATTTATTTCATTATACCTCAAAATCATGACCAAAGCCTGAGATTTCCCATGAAACGGCGAATTGAGACACTCGAGTTATTATAGAAATACCCCCTCCCCCCCACCTCATTCCCCACAACTTACCTTGTTCTAGTAATGATGATAATGAAAGTTTGACTTGTATTTATATAAGTATAAAACAGGATTAAACAAAACTAAGTAATGTAGGTTAAAATAGTGTTAAAACCTAATTTATGATTCACCTTAATGAAAAAAACCTTCTTTATTAAAATATATAAACTTATTGATCACAAGATCAATCAGCAACGGTAATCTGTACATCACTGGTCTTTATTCTAAAATGTAGATTGTCATGTCATGACTGTATTTACAGTAAAGTTGCACTTATTCTATTTTTCAATTATCATATAATAAAAGACAAAAAAACAAAAACAAAACAAAACAAAAACGGGTGACGATGTCATTAGATACATCAATGATTCTGAATCAGAAATACATTATTGACAACGGGTCACCTCTTATAAACGACGTACGCCTATATTGTTTTCCATTATCATAAAATAAAGACAAATGAGAGTGGGTGGCAATCTCATTGGAAACTGGTGGTTTCTATGCAAGAGATGGACAGAGAACGATCATACATACAGATTCCCCTACGAGTCTTTTTACATATATAAAAATATCAACACAAGTCGATAAAATAAAAAAAAAAACCGAGGCTTTGCCGATTTTTTTTTTTTTTTTTACTTTATCGACGAGTGTTGATATTTTTTGATATCAAAAGAGACGAGTAGGAGAATTTATTTATCACCTAGCCCTTCCTTACGCGCACAAATAAGTAAATATAATTCTTTGGTATAGATTTAAGTGTACTGAACCTGATTACATTACGGCTTAGTGATACATCATTGTTTGACAGCAAGTCACCCGTTGTAAAATCATATATATTGACCCGGTGTTTCCATTAAGGTTATGGGGAGTATTGTAATTGTTTATGGCAATTGAGAAATTTTCTCCATCAATATTACTGGATCAAAAATGTAGTTCCCTTTTAATTATCTACTGATTCGGGTACCAGGTTAAAGCAAATATCAAATACTAGGTGGTTATCATTTGAGGGACCCGTAACTGCATTACTCAGAAACTATTCCAGCTTAATAACTTTGTTATTAGAAGATAATTCTCCAAAATCTGTTGGTTTGCAGAAATCAATAACTTGTTTTAAATTTTTGTACATTACTCATTTTTTGTCAGATGTATTGCCAATACTCTGTAGATTGTCCAAATTCTAACAGAGAAGTGATATTGTTTTTTTCAAATGTAAATCCACTATTGGCTTCAACCATTTCTCAGCTACAGGGCATAGAATCAGGGAATTGCGGTATCAATGTTTTAAATTTATTGGACACAGTCCCAACAACAGTTAATATTGACACATTAGGAGGGGCACATTTTTTGTACAATGATCAAAAAATTAGGGATGGGAAAAAACAAAGGGGAGATGCTAGGGTGATAGGGATGCAATTTGTAAGCAATGTTGTTAATAATTTAGAATGTAGATTTGAGGAAAAGGGGATAGTGTTGTTTTAAATAAACTGTGTAGATTATTGCAAATTGTGATGTATTATTGTATTGTTTTATTGCCGTAAACATAAAGTTCATGAGCATTCACAATTTGTATATATAAATAGATTGATGTAGATATGGATTATATTAGGTCATTAGGTTTTTTTTCTTCAAACAATTGATCTTGATGTTAATGACTTTGATCAGTGATTGTTTCTTTCAGGGGTTATTTAAAATATGTTGATTGTCCAATGGATAGCATTGATGATGTGTTGAAACTTGCCCTAAAAGAAAAATCAAATTTTGTTAATGTAAATAAAATTGCTAGCAGATTATTGTGTATACCGGTTGCAACCGTTGATTATGAACGAGGTTTTAGTAGGCAAAATTTAATTAAAACAACGAGCAGAAACTGTTTTAAACCAAACACATTATCAAATTTGATGTCCATCACTTTAACTAAAAACCAACCGGATCTCCATAAATCATTTTTCAATTGGGCTAATGTGAAGCGAAGAAGGATTTTGTAAATTGTAAATATATGGTTGCTTAAGAATGTACAAGAAATAAAATTGTTTTATGCTATTACAATATGTATGTTTTTTTATCATATATTTTTGGCAGATGAAATATTCAAGTTGGCGGAAAAATAATATCATCATTGTTTTACATAAAAATTATAATCAATTTTGGCGGAAAAAAATTGAAAGCCAGTGTGAGCCCTGTCATACAGTAATCAGATTTTCAAAAAATGTAATATGGAAATCGGCGAAATGCCTAAAGTGGATTTCATAACTGGTGACTTAAAATATAAGCATGAGAAGTACCCAGATTAATTGACAAAAACTACAGTATTGTTTTATCATTAACGATAAATGCAGATCATCGACTACAGAACGCCGATAATCAATAGGGTTAATCTTCTTGCTTCACAACAAAATTGAACAAAAAGTCCGTTAAAAACTGTTGAAGGACGGACAGGCATGAAGAATACCAACTTAATTACGCCAAAAGTTATTGGTTGTGGTGAAACCCATTCATTTATCGATTGATAGTTTGTTTATCTTCAAAAAGCGATAGTTTAAAGGTAGATATTGGGCATTGAGATCTTAGTCCTTGACTGAAGCAATGGGGCGTAAAGTAGCCAAACAATTCTTGTCAAAGGACATCGATAGCAGGACAATGGGATCTTTAATGTTCTTCCATTTTTCTCCGTGTTACAGCCCAAATTTTTCATTCCATATAATGAAATGAAATGAAATGAAATGGGGTTTAACGTCCTACTGTTTTGCTCCGAACTGGGCTAATGAAGACGGGCATACGCCATACATTGTGCTATGAGGGAAATTTTGCCCGGACAGCGGCACTACGGCCTACTCTTATATCGAATTCCAACTGTCAAGGGATCTTTAACGTTCACGCCAATGTGTACACGGGACCTCGGTTTTTCGTCCCATCCGAACGACTAGACAGCTGTCCTTGTCAGCCCCTCCGTCCATATAATGACCTTGACCAAGCGTGGCACACCAATGAGACGTTCAAATACATGTCTTATATTGTACATATTCAATAGAACGAGACTACAATAACTATACAAGCCGTTTTGTCACAAGCGGTTACGATACGAGTATAATGGGAAAATTAAAATACGTATTTTCGGTTATACTTCAACACCAATATTACATTGGCGTAAATATATTGGCGGTGTAAATATATTTTTTGATTTGTTAATAAAATGTAAAAAACATTTTGTTAAGCGTAGAAGGGAAATAATAACACCAATGATAAATCTAAATAGAATATTCACTGTGTCATGTCGTCTGCAATAATGTTAAATATACATCAAATTGTTTA